GATCAACGTTTCTCAGCTAGCCACCGATAGATATATCATTCGATAGAGAATTTCACGAGCTTAAAAAAGACCTATAAATAAGTCTTTCAAAAATATGCCCACATGGGTCAATAGTTGAAATACTTGGCCGATATAATGATTTTCACCTATCTTAGTGGTTTCAACACTCGGTTAGTCGGTTTTCTGTCATAATGAAAAATTATGTATTGTTCGAAAACATACCATTGGATAGCCCTTGAAATTATCTACAAAGTAAGCTGGTCACAATATCCGGACAGGTGGGGCAAGTCATTAAAGATATGGAAAAGAAGCTTTTAGGTGTTATCAAAGCAGTACAGTGTGTCATAATCACAAGAACTCCCTTGTTTTTAACTTTTTAGTAAAAGCTGGAAACAATTACCCATGTGGGCATATTTTTGAAAGACTTATTTATAGGTCTTTTTTAAGCTCGTGAAATTCTCTATCGAATGATATATCTATCGCAGTGGCTACCTGAGAAACGTTGATCACAGGATCCTCACCATTGAGCAAGTCACCCACTTGTCACGGCTTTGCAGAAAGTATTTCTAATGTCAAAGTGCCCTAGGACACTTTTTTCACTATTTTATATATAGGAACTTGTAGCGCGAGAAAGTCTCCATTGAATGGTATATTTATCGTAGTGGCTAGATGAGAAAGCGTGTCATAGATTATCTTAGACTTTTTTTATGTGTCAATGGAATTCAGGCAAGGGCGATTCTATCAAATAATTGCCCCCGTCCTTTTTTAAAAAATTTGAGTAGGTTAAAATGTTTGAGTAACTGTATTCAAACGAGGGGGGCGTTGTTTTATCCTAATTTTAACCTAATTTGTTGTTTTATCGTCTAAATCGAGGGTAAAATAAACGTTGATACACTAGTGTGTGTGTGAGGTGAGACTCGCCATCCCCCATCAAAACTACTATCGAAAACACTGGTGGTGTGTGACATACGTGAAGGTGAAATTTTGCTTTAAGCTTTATTCTTCCAGAATATAAGATAAAATCAATCCATTAGATATTATCTCGAATTTTTACTTGCCATACTCGACAATTTGAATCAATCATTTCCGCACAGTATCTCAAAACTAAAAATATCATTCACTAGAATCCAGCAGAAAACCCTCTTCTCTCTCTCACCCTTCACCCTCAAATTTCCTAATATGGTCGTTGTTCTTTGAAACTGTTTCTATGAGATGACGTTAAGTAAGACGATGTCTTACGCACAAACTGCTCACATTTAGTCGAATCAATCGGAAATAAAAATTTTACCATAAAATTATAATGATTACTCACCTGTGAACAAAAACTATTTCTTCTTGTTTTATTAGTATAGTTAATGTAGAAAAAACAAAAAAAACTCTAAAAAAGTTACTAAACAAGTCTGCCAATATACTGTGTTTTGGGATATTTTTCTGTTAATTGTGGCCATTGTACGAGAATATTTACTGGTAGATAACATAATATTTTACCCGTCAATGACAACGTTTGAACACGACAAATACTTTCAACAAAAACAATTTTTGGTCTTTTAATTATAAATAATAACTAAAAAAACGAAGAAAACTTAGAACAAAATAGTTTCACGTATAAAGAACGGTACTCAGTACACTTACTGCTAATAATAAACTCGCAATAATAATTGGAATACATGTGCCTGGTCCATTGATCAAAATCTATTTAATTTAAGATAATGATTGTAATGTGACCAACAGATAATTATATATACACTTACAACTTTTGGTCGAATACGATAGACTAATGGTATTACCGTAAAAAATGCCCAAATTGTTGTAAATATTGATGTAAAATAATTTTGTCCAACATGTCGACTTCGTTCTATAATTGATACATTGATGTCATTTGTACACTATATAAATGAAATAGAACACATTTCTTTTTGATAATCAGACGAATTATCGGTTGAAATTGGACAAATTTTTAGAGTTTTTACCTTTTCGTACGATTTTATCGTCAATAAAAAATTACCTCTTGTTCAAACTGGAGTAATTTTTTTGAACTCATTGCGTCTGTTGATGCAATTGCGTATGTGCGTGGTTTATAAATATTTCGATCAATACCACTTAATAAACGAAACATTTCATTTGTGTGTCCACCTAAATACATTCAAATAAATTTTATATTTAAAAACAAAATTAATACAAAACTCACCGGATCCAAGTACGACTAACGTAGGTACCAACTTGTTCGTATCATTCGCCATTATCTAAAATTATTTATATTAGAAAAGAATTAAACTACTAAATAATAACAAAAGTTTTTACAATCATCTACTAGATTGCTCGCGATGCTTATTTTTGGTCTTTTTTGTTCTTTGAAAATTAAAGGCCGTTTACTAACAATATAAAAACACACAAAATATAACAACATACAAGAATAATTCTTAGAGCTTCGAAAATAGTGACATGAACGTTATTCATTTCGAAATAAGGATATAATCTTGATAATCTTTTACATCTACTTCACGATTAATTAGTGATGACTTAACTTTAATTGCTTTATGATAATTGACGCATATTCTTAGCTTTTTTTTTGTATATACATGTATTGTGTTTATTACGTTACTTCCCGAACTCCTCACACTTAATTAATTTCAAATTGAGATCAAAGAATCCTCAAAGGCGGTGGGTGGATGAGTGTGCGGGGTTTGAGTATGAACCATTTATTATTCAGTAGATAAGACCTAATCGTTGATTATGATGAGAATATATACCAATTATTTCTGTTTATCTGTATGATCTAAATACATAAACATACATCAACATAGGATGTTTGAATTCATATTGAATATCACTTGCTTTCATGGCGGATACATCCAAATTTGATTTAAAATCGTTTTCTCTTTGTGAAAAGTGTCCTTCTTTTCTTTCGTAAAGACAAATAAAGTTTAAAGTTTAAAGGAAGATTTTGTGGGCTTACTACGACGCTCAAACAGACAAACATTCTTTGGTGGAGGCTAAGCTGAGTGCAGATTATAACTGTGACTTTCGTCACATCTGTGGTTTAATAAAAATTTTCTACTGTATAATTGTTCATGTGGATTCAAATTAACCTGAAAAGCCAAGAATGCGACAATACAGACTGTCTGTTTATTTTTCTGTCGAGATAATCGCGTTCGTAACTTGTCTTTCTCTAACTGCTGTGGTGTGAAGCTGAGATGTTGGCAACGTTTACGTAGATTTTATTATTAGTATTTCTTAGAAATTAAAGATAACATCTTTTACGTTTTTGTCCAATAAGGCAACGACGCTAATAAACTTTCAACAATCACATATAATCGACTTTATCAAATTGTCTGCTGCATTAGTCTCAAGATATAGACAGTTGAACACCTTCATCTTTTTTTAGAATGGCAAAAAGCGATGGATACTTTTAAAGCTCGTTCAATGGCGGTTCTAATCAAGTAAAAAACCGGCTTCATCTTCTCACATAAGAAAACAGATAGGTTTGTAAAATTACTTATGAACTTTTTACAGGAGCAATCCCAGACGTCCATACTGGCTGGATAGATCTTTTACTTCAACCTCGATCAAGCATCATTCTCGTACTCAGTTTTCAATGCTGAATCTGAGGAAAATACTGTCGAAAAGTTAGAAGAACGAGAAAGTAAAGAATGTGAATTTTTTTGAAACTGCAAGATTTTCCGAAATTTTCCTTCGAACTTTTTCATTTTTTCTTCCTTTTCTTACTTCTCTTACTCAACTCGATGTGCTCTATCCAACCATGTATAAATTAGTGGAAAGAAATCCTGCTCGAACTTTGACAATCACTTTTTAGCTGCTCAAACATTTCATTTTGATCATCTCATTATATTAAAACAGAATAGTGAACTAAGATGATCTGTTTCATTAACTGTCCAGCAAGTGAATACTTTATTAAAATATAACAGCTAAATATCTCAACTATTTCGCACTAATGATTTGATTCTTAAGAAATATTTATCTATTAGCAAAGACTGTTTTATGTATTTGATACGTTTTATTACGAATAAAAATTACAAATAAAGGTTTATAAGAATGAAATGTTTCGAGAAAAAATAAATACCCACAAAATTATATATCAGAGCGAGACGTCAATCAAACTGAATTGAATTTTTTATTTTTTTGCAAGCATGGTTGTTACAAAGGAAGGCTAGCTTATGCTAATGCAATACCGATGCTAATAACACATACTATACTATATAGAAATGTATTCCAGTTTGACTGACAACAACAAAGAAGAAAAAGACAAACACTTTCAAAATCTCTTACCAAGTCCCATATGCAATAGATTAAAAATTCATCTATTTTATTTTCATTTTTGATTCTTTAATGTCCAATTGAATAGCTTTATTCGATTTCATCCAATAATCACTCATAACATCTTTCTCTGGTAATGGTATATCTGTACGATTTATACGTTTTTGTTCTGAACTTATTTTGTAATGTTCATCACGTTGTTTCACTAAACTTGGATTTACTTGTCCATCGGCTGTAAATCCCATCATTAATTGTGGAATACCCAATGGTAATGGATCGCCTCTGTCCACTTGCCTAAACGAAGAACGAAGTGAAAGATTAATCATGACACACGACAAATGATCAATTATTCACCATGTGTGAAAAGTTTTGCCATATGTACTGATTAATTCCTATATAAAGAAAAATTAATCATAATCATTATTTGAACACTAGACATTTTCTTGTTTACCTTCATAGCTTCTTTTTCAACTGAATCTGGCAGTCCAATACCCACTAACTCACCACTTTTCACTTCATGTATATGTGAATGCCATAGTTTCTTTTCATCATCAGTTAACTTTGAAAATAATTTACTCGAAATAATATATTCAACACCAATGAGACGTGCATTTGGTGCGTCTGAATCATAGATAACACATTGACGTATATCTTCATTTAAATGAGAACAATAATGATGAGCAGTTAATTGGCGATTCAATTGACCTAAACAGAGAGCAAAACAAGTAAAAAAGGGAAAAGACGGAGGGAGAGAAAGAGAGTATATACCAGAATAAAAATGAAAACCACACACATGTTGATGAATACTATTTATCGGTGCAAAATGACCCAACATGGCTGCTCCTTTATCCATTATGTGTGATTTCATTGACATAGGAGAACCTATAATAGAAAACGTCTTGTCAATGGGATCAATTCAGGAGATTTCTTTCCATTACCAGCAACATCAGCATTATCATGTATTTGTCTCATTCGATAGAGTTGAGTGGCTCCTGCACCCGCACCAAAGGCAAGCAAATATCCAATCACTTTCTGCATTAGATTAGTAATCTAAAAAATGATGTCGACAAATTTTATGCAATTTTCATGAGCATATGTCGGTTTATGAAAACATTTCTGTAGTAATTTGCTTTTTCAAGTTTAAAAATATCCTCTACACTTTTTTATTATTGATATTTTGAACATCTGAACGAAACATGAATGACATAGAAGAGGTGTGCTGCTAAAGAACAAAACTGAAGGCTTGATGTTTACAAAAATGTCTTCATCTTTTCTATGATGAGCATGAGCCCTATTTACCATGATTTACCTCTGTAGTTTATATTTTCAAGCAAAGTCTCAAACAACAAATGAAACCTTTTTTTGTGGTTTTGTCTTTTTTCCAAGGTTGATATAAGATTTATTCTTTTAGAATACAAGCCGAAAAATTCCATTATAGTATTTTAAACTAAAACTATCGAAACGATATCGAAAAAAATCATTGAAAGATTTTGTTCTTGTTACTGTAGTAAACTAACAGCTGTTGAGAAAAAGGCCTCTGTTCCAGAGTTGCCGGATGCTTAGGTCACAAAAGCGGAAAAAAAGCAGAAACGCATTTTTCACCAAACGCATAGAGTATCAAAACAAATTTTTCTAGCGCTTTATGGTAGGTTCACTTAAAAAACACAAAAGAAGTACAAAACATCATTTAAATCCCAATTTGAATCAATGCTGGCTTTTTGTAGATGCGAGTTTTTGATCAGCCGTCATAAATTTTAAGAGTTTTGTATGGCAGAATAAAATTTAATTCGATCTTTTCCCGCCTACGACAGCACTTAATGGTTAAGATTTTCTGATCGAGTTGGCTTCCTTGAAGATTTAGTATTTCACTATTTGTCCCACTTCCTTTCAGCAGCACTTGAGACAAGCTAATGTTTTTCTGTTACCGCTCACTTCCGGGACAAATTTCTGATTTAGTTCCTGAAACAGTGCGCATCTGTTTTATAAAAGTTGCAAAAGCATTGAGATGTCATTCATCCACCGAAGGACGCAAATTTTTTAATCTTCATTACCGGAAAAAGAATAAAAACAAAAAATCCTCGAAAAGCGGACACTTTGCGGAAAAAGCTACAGAAAGTGGAATTTGTCCCCAAAATGCGGACCATTTGGCAACTCTGCTCTATTCACTTATTTTTAAACATTCAGTCTAACTGTAAAATTATTTCTACTGATTTTTATTTATTTTCTATTGTTCGCAAGGAAGCATTAGATGGCATGTCCAGCAGATCAAGAGGAAAGGATATATGAAGCAGCGTTGATCTTATAGTTGCCAGCTCTGATTTTTCAGAATTCGAAGAAATTTTCTGATTTCGAACGTTTTACTGAACAAGACACCTATTACGACAAAAAGGCTGATATAGAAATCAAAACATGAGTCCCACACATAGAAAATGGAAATTTAGTCTTTCAATTACAAATCTGCCTGCTTGCTATATCTTTTTTCACTATAAGTTTCAATGAGGCACTCTGTTGGAATATATATCAGGCTATCCAGCACCAGTACTAAACCAATGTAAACGTAGCGTGCCATGAACACTGGCAGTGGTGGAATGAAGATTTTTATTGTACGGTAGTCGAGTTAGAATGAAACTAACGCTACATCTTGAATTGAAGTTTTTGAAATACCTGCAGGAAAAAGAAAAACTGAAACAGAGCGTATCGTTTTATTTAACACCGGTTTATAGCTTACAATTGTCAAATATTCTTTCATTAGTAAACTGATATGGATTACTATCTTTAAGCAATATTTTAAAGTCCTCCCAATTTATCTGATGTCTCGTATCTAACATATGCCTAACATATAAATATTTTCGGGTGGTACAGTTTTTCAAGATTTATCATCGTTTTAGTCCTCTTTCTTTTTTTTATAATGTTCTTTGTCCTTATTATTCTTCATTACGTTGGCATGATTCCAAATATGTTCGTATTCCACCTCCTGTAAACGGCTTTTCTCCACAAACAATTTCACCTTCCTCCTTTCATTCAACTGTCACTGGTTGGAATAATCTTCCAGAATCAGTCATTCGTTCTTCTTCTTTATTGTCATTTAAAATAGCTCTAGCTCAGCCTCTTTACAGTAGAACATAGCCATATTTACAGTCAAAAACAAACCTAGTGCTGTTACTTTTATTTTGTTTTCTTGTTTTTATTCATTCTTTTCTATCTCTCTGTTTTGTACACTAGTTTACTTTTATTTTTATTTTTCTGTTTACACTTTCTTTCTATTATTGTCTGACTCGAGCCATTGTTATTGTAGGTCGGGGACCTTTGATGACTCTCACTTTTCCTGAATTTTATTCACGACATTCATTTATTCATTCATACGCCGTCCACTGATTTACTTTGAGAAGAAGTAAGGGAAGAAAAGGTTGAATTAGAAGTTTCATCATCATCATTAGAAGAAAAATCCAAATAGACAACTTTTTCTCTCTCTCTCTCCATTTTTATTCTGCATGAAATAAGAATCTGCACAACTTGAAATTTCTCGGTTCATATACCATCTCCATGTACAGTTTTTATCTTGAAAATGCCAATTGTATTTGATGAAACGTCGAGTTTTAATCAATTTATATTGGATAAATAGATATGATACTTAAATATGCTGTCACTACACTTACTTTCTCAGAACATTTTATGTACACTCATGAAGCTTACAGTCAAGGCCAAGAAAGTCACAGTGATGAGCATTACTTGTTTGTATTGTACATCCCAAAAAGTAGATGGCATGGCCACGCACCTTTCCGATGTCACGTTATGCAGTAAACGGGTGTAGAGTCTTAAAACTACTTTTGCATGTTGTTTGGAACGTGGAATGGCACTTCATGGATTGTCCAACCACATAAATATTGTACTGATGTAAGACAGAGAACGAAAAATAGTATTGAAATAAAAATAGCGGAATGATAGAAACATTTCTTCGCCTTTAATAACAAAAAGTTCTGTTTGCACCGATGCTAGATGTCTCTGGAAATCGGCATTACATACGCCTATCACCCGAACAAAAAAAATGTCGCCGCAATGCTACTCGAACTGTCGGTCACTTTTTTCTATGAAACTAAAGATGATCTCTAATCATTCATACATCATTCCATGCGCCTTGGAAAGCTCTGCAAGATATGTTAATTGGAAACGTAACGAAACCTGACAGCCGTGTTTGGGATTTTAAATACTACGGCGCTTTAACGTAGAATGGCTCCAAAAATTGCTCGCCACCTTTATTTTTGATTTTTCTCGTGGACCGCACAAGCTAGAACAAATTTGAAAAAAATTTGAACAGGTGATAGAATTTGAATTTGCTGTGCTGTTTAAAAGGGTTCTATCATAGCTCTTTAAACCAAGGTCTATGGAAAACCAAAATCTCAGAAAAGCAACTTCCAGAGTTCAATCTAACAATTCGTTGCAAAAGTCCATTCTGTATAGCAAACATTTCCGAAGAAAATGAGACGTCTCCGAGCTCTTTGCGGCACTTTTTAGTGAATCAGCATTCAATGTACGAAAGGCCCTACGCTTGTTTTCCCGTTAGTTTTGCTGGTATGGGATGGTCGGTTATTAACACATATTGTAGAGCTTTTCATGATGCATCGAATGATGTATTGCGCTAGGCTTAATATAGTATAGTTACTGAGAAATGTTGATTTTACAGTCATACTGTTAGTGCTAAACTGTTGCTTGGTTCCAAGTAGATTCTGTCGGGTATATTCGACTGAAAGCGTTCGGAAGGGTCGAAATCATCGAATATGATAATCGGATGTAATTCTGATGAGGTTGGGACGGATCAGAGGGGTTATTGTTAGTGGGCCGATTACCGTTCTAAATGCGGACTTCACCTTTACGAAAACTTTTCGAACAAAATAGCGAAAAAAAATTCCCATAGGAAAATAGTATTAGTTTGAAAATTTTTCTTAAACACTTGACAGTACCCCTCGCCAAAAATAGAAACTCTGCTGGATTATCGAGTGTGCTGAATACGAAAAAACGCTCTTCAGCAACTTAAAATCAACTTTATTTTTTTTGTCGCAGTCTTTCTAAAAAGTCTGTGGACAGTTTTTTTTCTAAACAAGTGAAACATTCGTTCACTGAAAAGAATTTTTGTTACTCTGCATCAGAATTTATTTTTTCAACAAAAACGATATTTAATTTCCATCCGAGTCAATCTCATTCAAGCCATCTTGCAGAAATAACGATATATTTCGTTCTTTGGCTCGCCCTGGATGAGAAATAAAATCTTTTATAACAACAATAATAGGTTCTGAAAAATTTCTACCTTAAATTGTCCTTCCATTTTGAAGGACTGTCTGCCATTTATTTTGACAGTTAGTTTGTAGCTGTTGATAATGGCTGTCGGTCTCTTACAGTTTATAAGATCAAATACTTGCAAGATAGTCGCGACATGTGTTGTGCTCACAAAAAGGTTGGACTATTAACCAGAACAAAAGTTCCAAAAATCTGGCGAACGTTTTATTTCATTATTTCAGTCTAATTGTATTACACAGTATATTTTTTTTTGTACTTTTATTTTAAATATTTGATGTTAAATAGATACAGCATATTTTTTCTCTGGCTGATGACTGATTACACGACAATAAATATTCTGCTTGGTTTTTTTATGGTGAAAATCAAAACAATATAGAAAAAAATTAACCACAACAAGACAAAAATAAAAAAAGAAAGTAAAAAAACGCTAACGCATTTCTCTTTCGATTTTTTATCTTGTTTTTTAAGCTTGGTTTGAATTTGGACCCCGTCGACGACCAAATGCTGATACTTTATTAACAAAACGTTGTTTGTATTGCATTCGTCTTTTTGCACGACCGGTTTTTTTCTTATGTTTTTCTTGTTTATTAACCTAATAATGGACAGAAAAAGAATGTCTTTGAAGTTCCGAAACGGTTGAGGTCAGATGAACGTATCCATTAGATTGCACACTGGTCCAAACGGATTTTGTGAAAATAAATACACGTCCGTGAAGCGGACATGCCAAAAACTGTTAAGGATTAGTCATACAAATTGCGGCTTTGTTTTTTAAGTGACAGAAAAAATATTACAATCAAGACGTTTGACAACTCTGCAGCATCTACAGCTTTCTATCATCGTAAACGGGGGAATCATTCAGAAACTTCTACGTTTTGTGACAATCCTTCTCTATTGGTTAACTAGGACAGAAGATACGTACTTTGGGTGTTTGGCCTTTGACTTTACCAGCTCGAGCTAATGAACCATGTACTTTTCCTAAAAAGAGACGAAAACACACCATTACAAACCTGTAAAAATCAAATTCAATCACAATACGTTTGTACAGACTTATCCTGGAACATCCTATATTTGGTCCTGTTTTCTAGTTTAGATACATGTTTTAATATCTTACCTCCAAAAAGTTTAACACTGGCATCAATTGTAGCTCCAGGGGTAACTCCATAATTTGATACATTCTGATCATCTCCTAATGGAACACCATTAAAACTCAGAAGAATATCATCACTTTCAAGTTCATACTCTTCTGCAATGACTTCCTAAAAACAACAGTGACCACTTTAATACAAGAATGAAGGTTTCCAATCATACCAAATACCTTAATATCTTTCACTGTATCATCATTTTCTAATTCGAATGGAATTAATTCGACACCACGTACGAATATTTGCATTTTTTATTACTTGAAAAGTTTAAAATAACTTTTATCTACAAAATACGAGCGAATTAATCTTTGTATTTCGACTTTATATCTTATGAAAAGTAATTTCGAAAGTACATCAGAAACTGAGAAATATGAAATGTGATTATGTGTGTGTGATTAGTTACAGAGCCAAAACTTCTTTCGTAGCATATTCTGGACCTTACTATTAGCTGGAAAAAGGAAAGTATGTATTTCATTGGCTGGAGACCTTCAAGTCAGATGTGCATTTTGTATGCATAACTTTGAAACACATCTAATTGCCTTTGACCTAATGCGAAAGTATATCTTATCCGAAAAGATCTGGAATAATTCTGCTTCGGAATGTCGTATGAGAGAGGGCGATAAAGAACGGTACAGAAACGTAAGACTTTTAGGAATGTGCAGATTTTGCCACAGATAACCACTAGGTAATATCAAAATTCCCCTCACATTGTCAAAATCACGATTTTTTATACAACTTCATTAATTAACCATTATAGGGAATCGCATTAGTTCACGATTTTCAGTGATTTTGCTGATTAGGTCGGGCTATCTCGTGAACTTTTTGCATTTATTTCTCTAAATTCGAACTCAACTTCTTTTCGGTTTGTAGTGCTAATTGTAAAAACGATATTTAAATCAAGATTAAACTTGGGTTATACTCTATTATGTGTGATTTTACAGTAGGGATTATAAGCATTTCCCTAAAATATAACACTAGTTTTACGCTTGTCGATTTTTATATCATGTGCACCTATCGCACAATATCCTCAGTGTGTTTCAGTCACGTAAAAACACTCTTTTTCATGTGGTAATTGTTTCAACAGGAAATCAGTGTCGTCAAACAGGTTCCTAAGGTTTATTCAATTACACAGAACTAATAAAGTGAATGAGTCAAGTTCATGTAGAAACAATTAATCGCATGAAGAGTATTTTCATATAATTGATATGATGTACAGTCATACATATAGAGTATTATACTACAGTATGTATTATCTCCTTTTCGGATAAGATATACTTCTCTATTATGTCAAAGATAATTATAATTCTATCACTAAAACGAAAACTTTAAAAAATACAAGATTGATGTCGCTGGTAGACATTTATACATATATTCTTTCTTTATTTATTAAAAAAATAACTTTCTATAAACTATCTTTTTTTAATGTGTCGCTTACCATAATTTCTGAAGCACTTTTCTTCCGTTAGTATGCATTGCAGTATGATTAAAAGTCATCTGTTGAAATTCAATACACTCATGCATTAAACGGAAAGACAAGGAAGATACTGGTTGTTTCCTGGTGACAGAGATGAAAGTTTTTTACACTGAATACTTGTAAACAGTAATATTTTGCCTCTTGACAACTGTATCTGTCGTCTAAGTATAGAGAAAAGATGCAGGGTCTTCCATTACTTCCTGGAAATAGCTTTCGAGATCCCACGGTAAGAACAAAAATTTGTCGCGAGCTATGTTAAAAATAATCTAGCTTTAGCTATGCTAAATAAAACAGTGTCTGTTTCGCGCTATTCAAATGAGACGATCAATAAAAGGTGGGAGGTTCAACTGTACTTGACACTCCTCAAAAATGTTCCCTACAGAAACAGAATTTCTACTGTAGCTTGATTCGACAGTGCTCGCCTGTTGGCAAGAAGAATCAACAGCAGATCTTTTTTATGGGCACCATATCAACGTGAAGAAAAAAATAAAGTTCATGCATAGTCGCGAAAAAGTGCTTTTTCGTATTCATCACAGTCGATAACCCAGAAGATTTTCTATTTCGATGAGACGTATTGCCAAAAATTTAGGAAAATTTCTTGAATAAAAAAGAAATAATATTAGTTAGCGAGAAAAATAATATTAGTTTCAAAATTTTCCTAAATTTTTGGCAATACGTCTCGTCGAAATAGAAAATCTTTTGGGTTATCAAGTGTGCTGAATACGAAAAAGCACTTTTTCGCGACTCTGCATGAGCTTTATTTTTCTGTCGGTGATATGATTGTTTCCTACTCAGAAATATAAACTGTATACATGCGATCCTTCTTATAACACTCCGGTATAAACTAAAACTACTTGACACCTTATTTGTCACGCACTAACAGAAATTTTTCGATAAATCGGTGTTTTTGTTATATAGCATGTGTGGTAGCAAAACAGAACGATGAATGAAAGTGACGCGAATTCCCTGAGAAGTTTGTTGAGATATGTAACACATTTGTATTGACTACGAGTGCTAAAGTGCATGTCAAGTTCTACAGAAGTGGTCTCAGTAGCGTAGTCCCATACTCACAATAGAATACGCATTGTTGACATATCGATTTTGTATATCTCACATTTGCTCGATTAATGGCTTAGTTATATTTCTTTAGCAAACAAACTACCATGTTAGTCATACGCTCGAACTGAAAAATGGTCATCGTGTTACTAAATGGCCGGAAGTCGGATTAGGTATGTGCATGGTCATGAGTTTTTCCAAATATACTTGTTTTTTGTCTTTTAGGTGGTACCCGCATCAATTATAATCAGATTAGTGAAGACGAATTGGAATTACTTCGTAATTATCGCCCTGAGCTTGTTTACGGAAAAGCCGTCGTTAATACACCGGATAAATTTGTACCAGCGACGTTAGCATTTGATAAAAAAGTGAGTTTTTATCTATATCTGATACACTTTAATCGCCGCAAGGTATCTGTAGGTCTTACGATTTTATGGTTATTTTAAACAAACCGTGCCGGAAAGTCCAAATGAATATTATCGAGTCCGTCCTGTGAAAATTTTCTACTATCTCGAAGATGATAGTTTGGAAATTCATGAAGAAGTTCAAGAAAATAGTGGCATTCCTCAGGTATGATGCTGTAAAACTGAAGTGTTTAGTTGAGACATCTGATCATTTACTATTATGTTGAGGAAACTGACCTCTAAAGACATTTGTTTATATGGTGCTGCGAAGTTTTCAGGAATTAAAGCACAACTTCTGAACAGACTACAATGAAAATTTTAACTAAAAGTAATCAATGGTTCAAGAATCATAGGCAGCACAAGTATCAGCGTGCTCTTCGAACAGTATAGTTTTTCTGAAGACATCTGATTAATGTGAGGACCGCATCTCTCTTAAACTAATCTATACACTTATGTCTAAAAATTTGACTGAGACGGTTATCGCATTTCCTCTTCGTTGCTTGTTCTGAGCGATTTCAAGTTGAACGTTCGAAAAAGATCAATGTTCGAGTCTGGTGATTAAAATTTTTTTCAAAAATATGAACAGAAAGATTTCCATGGCACTTAAACGGTGGATAATGATACAGATCATGAAAAAGCACTCATTTCAGGCTACACGTTAATATGCTTAAATCAAAAACGAGTTTTGGTGAAAGAATCGATTTCTTTCTTTGAAAATCTTTTTGCTATACCATCTAACCGATTCAAACGAAATTTCCAGACCTTAAAGATCATAGCCTGAAAATATTATAATAAAACTTTCAACACTCGAGACACCTACAGTCGGTCTAAAATTATCCGTACAATGAAAAAAAGAATGTTTCTGTATCAAATATCTCTGCAATGGAAGGCCGTAGCGAGATCGAATTTTCAACATTAGATAGGCCTATGTGCCAGTTTTGCTTGTAATATTAATATATCATATTTAATCTATTAGCTTTATGATTTCCTATCAAGATTTTCAAAACCGATTGGTATTTTTAGACAAAATAATTTTCCCTATGATCGTCTTTTCTCTTTTTTTCTCAACGTCATGGCACGACTCAGCGAACTCCTAAGTAGTCCATTCGAAAGAGAAAAGTCTCGGCTTTTTGATGCAGAAAACATTTTCGAAAAACGTTCACATTTTCCTTGAGAAAAATTAAAATTAAAAAATGCGTCATAAAATTTGAATTTGTTTTTAGAAAAATTAAGTTTTTTCATTTAAAAAAAAGTACCATAGTATAACGTCAAATAGACCAAAAGAAAGCGAATTCTTGAATTTTTCTACACGTGCATAAATACATGTATATAATTATAGTTCGGTATTTTTTTAAATGAAAAAAATTTAACTTTTAATTCAAATTTTATGATGCAATTTTTAAATTTAATTTTTCTCAAGAAAAATGTTTTCTACATCAAAAAGCCGAGACTTTTCTCTTTCGAATGGACTACTTAGGAGTTCGCTGAATCGTCCCATGACGTTGAAAAAAAAACGAGAAAAGACGATCATATGGATAATTAGTTTCTCTAAAAAACCATCGGTTTTGAAAATCTTGATAGGAAATCATGAGACCAATAGATAAAATATGATATATTAATATTACAGGTAAAACTGATACATAGGCCTATCTAATGTTGAAAACCTGATCTCTCTACAATCTTATATTTGATATAGAAACATCCTTTTTTCATTATACGGATAATTTTTAGATCGACTTACCAGTATCTCTAATATTTCAAGTTGAAAGGACAAAAATGTCAGCTGCTGATATTTGAAGATATATCGCTGCACAAGTCAACTAATATCTCTAGCTGTATGTGTGTTGTGTATTTCTTTCATGTTTACGCTCGCTGACTAGTTGCTTTTATAATATTTGCTAAGTGTAACAGTATTTTTTTAGGGTAAACTTATACGTCGTCATCGATTTCCAAAAAATGATCAAGGTGAAACATATAATTGGAGGGATTTAAATCTTGGACAAAATCTTGCGGTTTATGGAAAAGTATTTCGCATATGTGATTGTGATGCATTCACTAAAGTAAGGCGGAAGATTATCTATGATATCATCGTATGATGTCTGATATTGTTCTTAGGAATGGCTCGAAAGTGAGGGTATCACTGTTAAATCGTCTGAACCAATCCCGTATGATCCCTATTTAACAAAACGTCATCAAACAGCCGAATTGAAAACATATAAAACAAAAAATGAATTTGATAAATTGAAACAATTTATTGAAATGGATAATAAAGTGTTACGATTTTATGCTGTATGGGATGATCAAAATCAAATGTTTGGTGAAAAACGTCAATTTATCCTTCAGGTAAAAGATGTGCCTTGATATATAGTAAACATTTAAAATTTACTTTCTATCGTTCTAGTACTATCTTGTCAATGATACAATGGAAATTCGTGAAGTTCATAAAGCAAACGATGGACGTGACCCGTTTCCGATTTTAATAACCCGTCATAAAATACCAGTTGATCGTTATAACATCAAAGGTAAATACGAAATTATTTATTTTCTCTTATAAGTTTCATGTTTGATCTATAGGTACATTTCCGCATGTATTTCTGGAATTAACTGACACTGAAGTTGTCAACTATTTTAAGCCAAGTGATTTAATGGTTGGAAAAACAGTGAATATATACGGTCGAAATTTTCTCATTTACGATTGTGATGTGTTTACAAAAACATTTTATCAAAAAAATTTTGGTATCACTAATTTTGATCCAATTAATATTGAATCACCACAAGTAGAACATGCTAAAATGGTATAGTTTTTCATTGAAATGACAAGAAGAAATGATCATAAATTTACTCCTTCTTTTTTCAGGAAATACCACCATTCAATGGTTTTGGTAGTTTGGAAGATTCATTACAAAACTGTTTGCGATTACAACCAGATCGTCCGAAAAAAGATTATGTTAAATTGATGGAAAATGAACATCGAGTTTTACGTTATGAAGCCATTTTGGTATTTTAATTATTTTTAATAGTTTAAATAAATTCAATAACAGTAAATATTTATTTATTCAGGATAGTCCACGAGAAGAAGATCAACTTCGACGTTTTGTTATAAGTTATCGTTTAGCAGATGATTCAATTTCTATTTACGAACCGTAAGTTATTCAGTTAAATATTGAATTCTCTTTCTAAACTGTTTTCGTATCTGTTTTTAATTAATCTAATTTACATTATTTTTTGAAACTATTTTAGTCCGGGAAGAAACACAGGCATCATAGGAGGACGATTTCTTGAACGAACAAGAGTTTCCAAACCAGGTGTTTAGCGTTACTAATCTATCATAAGTGTAGAATAAAATGAATAAAATATTTGTTTTAGGTTCAACACCTCAACAACCACTTTATTATGGTCCACAAGATTTTTATATCGGTGCCACTGTTGAGGTTTTTCGTCATCGTTTTGTTATAAAAAGTGCTGATTTATTCGTATTAAAATTTGCTGAAGAACATCCGGAACAGTTTTCACCACAAGTTATCGATTCGTTACGTCAACATTTGAGTAATACAAGTGGCCGAACAGATGCACGTTCAGGGCTAGCTATTCGCGTTCGACGACAGTGAGTTATTTTATCAGTATAATTCATGTATACACATCATTCTTTTATAGACCTGGTGATTTTATTCGATTATATGCTGAAATTCGTAACAAATTAAAACATATGCGTGTAACAAATCATGAAGAAATACGTCAAATGTTTTTAAGATATGATAAAGATCGAACAGGTTATATAATAAAAGATAATATTATCGATTTATTTCGACAATTACATTTACCATTGGAAAATGATATAATTGATGCTGTAAGTACTTCTCGTCTATATTCAGGTGTATTATTCATTATTTGTTCCTGTTTTAGATGATAACTGAATGTACAACGAACAGTGAAGGAAAAATTAATTTATACGATTTTTTACGTTTTTTTGATAATTAGACTCTGCTCAACATTGTCAATGTTTGCCAACAGCCAATTACTGATATATAAATATTTCTATAACGTGATAATTAAATGATAATCAACATCTCCTATGAACTGAACTGTGATAGGTAAAAAAGTATTCTCTCATTTTATGCAGTGTACTTCACAATCCGAACGATATAAACATTGTTTTTTCGGTCTTTAACTGTATTTTATTTCTTTGTCTTTTACATCGTCAAGTGATTGTTGTAAAATTTTGTTTTTGTCATTTTTTAAATTGCCATTTTTTTTCTTCTTTTGCTTCCAGTTCAACGCCATATTATCCCAATATAATCGAAAGAGCAGAATGCACGGCTATATAAGAAAACTTTCATATAAAACGTGTTAAAGTCAAATGGGGACATATAATAATTGTTCAGAAGGAAAGTTAGATTTGGTTTTTTAACTGCTTATTTTCTGTCCGACTGATCCAAAAGGATCATTTGGAGCCGGAATTAGTACTACAAATGTTTTCTTTGCCGTGAAATGATAAAAGAAATTTCTCTCGAAAACTCGGTTTTATGGAAGACCATACCGTTTGGAACAACGCTGAGAATATAACCGTCAATAAAAAATATTCAAACAAGGGAAAACAGTAGAATTAATGCTTGACAGTGGTTTGTATTTCCAGAAAAAAACTGATTTAAAACAATACAAAAAATAACAACAATATTAATAACAGGTATCCATGAGAGCTGTTTTTTTGTTCATTTTTTCTGCTTTTTTAAACGTTTCATATGCTTTGTAGCGCCAATGCGTCGCCGATTACGTTCTTTAATTTCGGTATAACGTTTTCGACTGAATCTAAAATACAAGGAAAAATGCTTAAATTGATCTGTATACTCATAAAATTAGCCACCAGATGATTTCTCTTAAAGCTTAAATGTTTAATGGAGAAGATCAACGTTTAATTGATTTATCCATTCTTCTCTTTTGCAAGTCTTTATTATTTCTCAATCATGATGTTAAGAAAAATTAAGATGATTCATTCTACTCAAAGTATTATAGACTGTAGAATATCTTACTTTTTAACTTTTGCATCACTGTACAGTTCTTCCAAGATCGTTTTCTTTCTATCTTTGTTTGGTATTCTACGATAGAAATCAGCTGGACTATCGATAACGGTTCCAGTCTAGAGAACATATATTGATTCATAAGAAGATTGTAGAATAATGTAAATAATACTTACTTGAAAATATTTTGGTAATCCTTTAATATCACTTCCTTTTTTAAAAAATTTATCGGCATACAAACCACCACGCATTTGTATCGCCAGCAAATCATTTTTCTTTTCTTCAGTTAATTCTGTTGCTGGTAAATTGTACCAATTTTTTCCTTTTGTTTTATCCTTTTCGATCTAAAAATGAATTTAAAAGAGTTAATTTACTCTATTGTTTCAAAACATATAACAAGCGTACTTGACGTTTTCGTTTTACTTCACGTTTACGTTCATCATATGGTGGTACTTCATTTTTTGAAATATAATCATTGGTTAAAATTGTTTCTGGAATTAACTGGAATAAACAAACAATTGTTAAAGAAAAATGTACATTAAAATAATTATTAAAACATACTTGACTAGTGGTTAATGCACTAACGATATTCGATGAACGCGATATTGATTTTTTAGCATCCTAAAATAAATGAAAAGAAGACTTAATGATAATAATTAAAAAGTTTTTGTTTTACTCACGCTATTTAAAATATCGTATGTTTTAACGACTATGCCTGGATCTATTTCATGTAACCTGGACATTTCTTTATATATCTTAAAGATTAACGAATAAGAAATATTTCTTAGCCAAAATTTATCCTGTCGATTAATTAATGAAATACGACACGGTATGAAGATATCAAAGCGAAAAAAGTGATACACTATGAGATTTTAGCGTAGTGTTGTCTTATTACAATATCCACGCGTGTGCATGAGATGATATGGAGCGGTGAGATTGCAAAAGAAGTGATAAAAATCTTTGCTTATATAAATATGAACAATTTTCTACAGATATGTATAGATGAAGAACGAAGGAAAGAAATGAATCTGAAAATCGTATTTGGGTATGAAACAGATATATTGTTCATTTGTAAAGGAAAAAATGTAGTGGCAAGATTCTTTCTTGATGCTAGCCATCTTGTTTATTCAAATTTCTTAAACGCATCAGATATAATCCAAAACAGAAAAGGAAAAATAAGCGAACAAACAAAAAAAATTAACATTTAACATATAAACACTAATTTCAAACAAATAAAGCATTATTTAATAAATTGGCTCTGATGGTAAATTTAGCATATTCGGTTTGGTTTGTGGCTGCTGTTGTGATGATTTTGGTTCTTGTAATTGTTTTTGCCGTTGTTGTTGATGCAATTTTTGATTTTGATGATGTATACGTGATACTTCTTTCAATTCAAACATGGAATCACATTTTGAGAGTAATGAGGCTAATTCACACGCTGGTGGATCATTATAAAAAAAGTCATGACTCATTGCTAAATCAGTATCAATACGTTGTTTCGGATCCAATGTTAATAATTTATCGATAAGATCAAGTGCCGATGGATCAGAATTATGAACAGACATACGATCACGAACTTTTCGTTTTTCACCTTTTGGAAGATGAAGATGTATTCGAGAATAAAGTGGAAGATTATCTAGACCAGGCCATACACATGGTTCAATGCTACCACATAAACGAGATATTAATTCTAATTGACGTTGTTCAGTATCACCTAAAAACAAGAAAATTAATAATCTTTTGTATAATATCAACAGATAGACTAAATACCTTGCAATATTGGTGTTCTTGTCCAAAGTTCACACATGATACATCCAACACCCCACTAAAAGAACAATATAAATGTAGGTAACTATACGATTAAAAAGTAGTTCTAATACTTACCATATCGATAGCTGCACCATAATCTCTTTCGCCTAGAATAAATAGTTTAAATATTTTATCGTTTTATTTCAATTTCACAAAATTTACCTAACAACAATTCTGGTGGACGATACCATAACGTAACAACACGACATGTATAACGATTTTCTTGATTTTCTAGAAATAATTAAGTAAATTGATTAAGAATTTTAGTCAGCTTTTTTTACTACAAAACTTATTACAAAACTTTCAAAAGATTTTATACAATGAACAATACATCATCTTCTCAAAACAGATCCTTCGTTATAGTTCGACTTGATTATCATGATCTTTTCAGACAAAAAACATTTAACAATTGAATGACGCAAGCTCAAAATATTCTATCTTTCATTATCACTGTCTTAATTGATTTTCTTTCAATTGTGTCTCAAAAAAGAATGTTAGTTGATGGTTCTATTTACATAGTTTCTTACGTTTGGGTTGTTTTAAAACCCTAGCCAAGCCAAAATCCGCCAGTTTTAATAAACCATTACGTGTTAACAATATATTAGCCGACTTTAAATCTCGATGAATAATATTATTCTTATGAATATAATATAAACCTGAAATAGTAATAAAACAGTATTCGTAGATTTATCCGTTTTTTTCCACGAATGAAAGGTGTAAAAAGTGTACATAAGAGACCTCTATCTCTTCTCTGTCCAAATATTTTCTTAGTTATCAGATAAGCTCTTCTATTCATAGTAGTCAACTCAACAAACTATTCAAATATCTTACCATTTAATATCTGATCTAAAATTGATTTGATATGTCCCAATGAAAATTTAATATGCATATTTCTTAATATGCCAGCTAAATCATGATCACAAAATTCAAATATTAAATAAAATTTACTTTTCATATCTTGTACTAAAAAATTTAAGAAATTTTGTTCATAAATATAAACACATAATAAGAAATATAAACAACATACTTGGAGAACGACATATATCAATTAAACGAACAATATTATTATGTCTTAATTCTTGAAGTATTTTAATTTCTCTTAATGCCGTTATTGGAAAACCTTCTTTTTCTTGATCCATCAGTATTAATTTCATTGCTACTAAATCATTTGTTTCATTACATTTTGCTTTAAATACTTCACCAAATGTACCTTGACCAATTTTATCTAATAGAACATATTTTGAAATATTTGAAATATAGGGAAATTCCAGTTGTTTCGTTGACATTTTGTTTTTTTCTTCTTTTCTACACGTTAATTTCACACAACAAAAATATGAAAAGTACAACAACAACAACAACAAAAGTCCAAAAAAAAACCAAAATCGAATGAACCGTACAAAATTGAAAGATATTCTGAAATCAAAAAATAAAATTAAATTTATATATTTTCTTTTTTTTTTTTTTTTAAATGAATTTAGTGCTAAACATGATGTGTAAAAAATTCTATACAATACATACACACGTATGCATAAAATTGAGATACAAATGAAAGGACAACGAGATAATTGTGAGAATAATGCACGAATTATTTTGATTAGAAAAAGTATTGTGTAACTCAAAATAGAAGACAACATATGAGATTTTAAATCATAATAGATGCTAAATAAATAGCTGTAATCAATTGCAGACTATTTGATGTCAGAACCGTGGTTGATCAACAGCATAAATAAAAATGTAGAAGTTATCTTATTGCACTTTAATCCACTACTTTCTCATTTTCTGTTATAAAATTGAATAAATGAAGCAGTGGATCTCTTCATCTATATCCCCCTTTCAAAACACACGCAAAACAAAAAAATCGATATTGCACATAAAACATGACAAATTTTACATTCTTAAAACAAAGTGAAAACATTCGTCAAATCAATTAAACGAATATAATATTCACTTGTAAGATATTGCATTCGAAAATATAAATTATTTTAATGTACATTGAGATTATATATACACCTCGGAATGAAAAAACAAAAACAACAACAACAACAAAAAAAGAAAAAAGAAGTGAAATTAACGAATGAATCGTTCGTAGACACAAAACTAAAAATTACACACAATAAAAATTTGTAAAGATAATTAACGTCAAGAATGAAAAGAAAATTGGCCAAAAAAAACAACAACAATGAGAATTTGATATTTGGAAAAAATGATATTTGACATTTATTTAAAGCCATAAACTAAAGAATTTTCGTCTCTCATACATACAATGATATGGTTTATTTAATGAACAATTATTTTTAATCCATTCACGAATTTCGTCAATTGTTGCTGTTATCATTGAATTACAATCATCATCTTTGTCATTTAAAAATACACAAACATCTTGTCCAATTGAAAAATAAATTAATTTTGGAAAACTTTTTAATATTACTAATAAATTTTTAATATAAAAATTATATGGTTGAGAAAATATTGTATCCATATGTAAATATATTAAATTTGGAAAAAAATTTGAAAATGATAATGAAATTTCATAAACATATTTAACACCTTCATATCTTAAATGTAAATGTGTTATACATCTATTAGGTATTGATGTTATTAATTGTTTAAGATGATCATAATTATCTTTTATATAATAAATATTTGGTGCTATTTTTAATAAACGTGCTAAATAGTCAACATTGACTCGACGATTTGTCATATGAAAATATCTATCATCAAGTAAATTTATTTTTTTTAATGATTTAATATTCATATTACATAATTCATCTCCCGTATCATTTTCATCATGCATACCTTCTAATAAAAGTGTTTTAATATTTGGACATTGTTTTAATACTGTTACAAGTGGCATTGATGATTGCCAATCATAATAAAGATGACGAACTTTTTTATACGTTAATAAATTATTATCGATTAATGTTGTTTGATAATCTGATGACATAACATGAAGTGAATTAAAATAATAAGGTAAAGAATACATAATAATTCTTTCATATTGATGTGTACCACACCAATGTCCATTAATTTCATGATATGTTGAATAATGTATAAACCATTGTCGATTTTCATTTATCCAAAATTTTGTTCGAAATGAATCTATATCATTAATAATTTCTCGTTTATGTCCACAATAATAATGAATACTAACACCAATATAAAAATGAAATTTTAATAAATTTGGATATAATGATAAAAGTGTTTGCCATTGATAACCACGAATATAATTTGTATCGGTACTATAATTATTATGAAATATAAATGTTTGAAGACGACAAGGTGAAATATAATGTTTCATTAAATATTCTAATTGTGTAAATATAAAATTATGATTATCAACAATATTTAATTGAAAACTTATTAATTCTTTTGGATGTATTTTAATTGATTTTTTAAATTCATCATAATCCATTATTTTTTCACATTCTGATAATGTAAGATTAAGAATTTGAAGATGATCAATACTATTAATTAATTTTTGTAAATCATAGATATTTAATATATTAATTTTTAAATGAACAATCTTTGAACAATAAGGTAGATGTTGAAAATATATATTTTCCATTGAACAAAATTTTAGAGAACGATTATTAAATAAATTACCATCAAATGAACATTGATGTTTATTAATTATTATTAATGATGAATAATTATTAAGTTTTTCCATAATATGTTTTATTTCATCATTACATACACCAATTAATGTTAATGATTGAAGATTTGAAAATGAACATTTTTTAACTGCTTCAGTAAATGCATATATTAAATGATGAATAAATTCATTACTTAATGTTAATGATATAAGATTTGGAGTTACAATAGGAAAAATGACATTACAATAAATTGAAAAATCTCTAAGAGATAATAAAGATAAATTTATGTGACGTGTATAAGATATTAACAAATTATCGATACGCCTATTTAATGAGAATAATGAATGAAACAACTCTTGTATTGATAAATAGACAAATATTTCATCAAGTAAAACTTCACTGGGTAATGTTTCGAACATTGTACTTCGAAAATAATAAATCCCAGTTGATCTGAGATGGCTTAGATAATCTAAAAGAGAATATAAATTTGAGTATAATGGTTAAAACGAATGATAAACAAAGTAAAAATTAGTATGTATATCAAAAAAGTGATTTATTAAGTTTCAAAAGCTCACCATTGTGATCACAAAAATCGTGTAAATCTATTCCTTTTTTGTAATCGCTAAGTTCATCTGGGAAGAACGTTGTTGTTTAAACATATCATTGAAAAACTTACAGCTAAACAGTTTTCGTGACCATAGATAGAATTGAAAACGATAATGTAATTATATATCTGCTTACTTCAATAAGAATTTACCTTTCTAAATCTTTAGTTTTTCAAAATAAATAAGACATATATCTATCTACAGATATATGTCTAATTTGTCTACTTTTTATAGGACATATTTTGCGGTGGCGTTTCATCGAATCTCCTCTTTTTTGCAGAGCTTTCGTAATCCGAAAGTCTTGTAAATTGACTTTTTACACGGCTTTCATATCTGTTTTTACAGGGCCTTAGTAACACTATTAATAGGGTCATATTCTCTCTATAAGATAGCCAGTCACTAAGATCACTAATAGGGCTTTCGTAACACAGTTTTACAGCGCTTCGTAAAGATAATGGAAGGGATTAATCTCTAGTGGATGCTCTGACAAGGTTTTCGTAACGCAGTCTATATGTATTTTTTATCCCAGATATAAATGATAATGCTGTATTATTATTATTATTATTATTACAGGACTTTTCATCATTTCCACTCGAAAAGTACCTATACAATTTGTTACGAAAGCCCTGTTAGAGGACATTAATCATCAGCTATTTTACCGTAAAAGGTACATAGACTTCGTTACAAAAGCAGCGTTAAAGAGTGTTACGCAAGCCCTGTCAGAGCATCTACTTAGACATTAATCCCTTTGCATTGATAGAATAAAGTATCTTTACGACAGCCCTGTAAAAAGTGTTACGAAAGCTCTGTTTTTTTAAATTTATGCCTTCTTACCGTGCTATGAAAGCCTTACTTTTTACTAAGCTTACGTAATGCTAGGGGATTCGATGAAATGTGATCTATTTTGGTCAATCAAAATTAGGAACTTGCAGAAAAGAAAAAGAGAGCGAGAAAAGCACGCAGCATTTTTTTTAACAATAAACTTTTTACCTTTGAGAAACACAAAACGATGCACAACAGCTACCTACATTCTTTGATGGAAAAAATGCTTGAACAAAAGTTCGCATCATAATACAGATAATAATATTTGCCACATGAAGCAATAAAAAGAGTATATAATTTCAAAAGTAGCATAGTTATAGTTCAGTTACAAGGCAACATAACACACAATTTGTTTTACAATGGACAACAGAAAGATCCAGAACTATATTTCATTTTTACTAATAATTTGATTTCGATAATGAATTTAGGAGATTTGGACATTGTTTTATCCGTTAATTATTATACATATTCTGCGATACTTCTTTTAATTCAAATATTGGTGGATATTTTCGTAATAAGTGGCACAATGATATATTATGATAAAACAAATTAAGATTAACAGTTGCATCGAGTTTTTGAATCAAATGTTAATAATTTTTCGATTAAATCTAACTGTCAATGAATACACCATTGGATGTGATAACAGACTTTACGATTGCCAACTTTTGACAAATTTCGTTTCTTAACTAATAAAGGTCAGAATGATCTAACGGTCAAGAAAAAAAAAGTGCTTCCTTTCGTGATTCTTAGACGTATTTTTTCGGTAGTTTTTCCTTGCCTTCAATACATTGCAAAAGAATTGTAATCAATAATTATCCATTCAAAATAAAATTGAGCTTGTAATCGTCTAAATGCACTTAAACTATACTAGTGGAAAAGTGCGCTTATTTAAATCGCTAGTGTGGTCAAAGTGTAGTTTAAGTGCATTTAGACGATTACAAGCTCAATTTTATTTTGAATGGATAATTATTGATTACAATTCTTTTGCAATATATTGAAGGCAAGGAAAAACTACCGAAAAAAAAACGTCTAAGGTCGTAGCAACGGCATTCTATAGTCGTTAAATCAGAATAAGCTTTTATTAAAAATTGTTTTCATTACGTGCTGTTGTCAGCGAAAATCACCTTGATAATGAAAGTTTATCCTGACCAACAGCAGACTTATACTATTAGGCTAAAAATATGGTTCGCTGTTTTCACACAAATAAAATAGCAGTTAGGCCAGTTGATGTTGTACACTATCCTCAGCAAATGGTCTGTATGTTGGATGATTCACACAAAGTTTCAAAGCAAAATAATGTCTCTAAGACGGATTATAAATTTTTTCAATTTATCATATCTCACGAAACACACAGTCAAATAGGATTGAAACTTGTTAACTGATCAGCATAATGTCTAAGCTATATATATATATTATCATTCTTAAGTTAAAAGATACTCTAATTTTAATTTAGAGTCTTGCGTGTTTGGCTTTTTTAAAACATGAGTTGGAACTTAATCTCAAAAAAAACTTTCCCGAACACGAATATGAACAAAGGTTTTCTTTTCAGCAACTACTGTCCTATGGATAAATTCAAGAGAGCTGTATTTACGCTTTTAAAGGTATAATGAGAGATTATGATTCGAAATTTCGAGGTCAAACCAAGATAATGAATGACAAATAAATACATAAAAAAGTGAAACAATCTCGTGCTTGTTATCGTACTGTTTAGAAGAATAGTAGTTTCTCTTCAACTTCGTGTTTATGTTGTATACTGTTAAAAATACATTATAAATGACAAAATCTACGAAAGCACAAATTGAAACTTATATATAAGAAATAACGATTAATTAATTAAATTTATAAAACCTAAAGAAATGACCAAATCTGGAACCTAGAAAAAAATGTCTCAAATTCGAACACGAATCCGAAAAAATTTCTTTTTAAACACGAATCCGCGCGTTCGTGTTCAGAATCATGTTAAAGACGAAGGACTCTACTTTTGACGAGTACCTTATGGAAAGGTAGGATAAACAAACATCATTTTGAGAAGATGAACATATTCAAACCACTAGTAGAGTCGCTGATAAAGTACACTTGACAAATTCTTTCTGTTACTGAATTATAAAAGAATATCATTTACATTTTGGCGAAGCAATTAAATTACTGTTTGCTTAAAATCGGCAAGTTTTAATAATCCATCTCTTATTAGCAATATACTTGTTGATTTTTTAACACTGCAAAATACAAAAATACTTCAGTAAAACGAGCTGAAACTTACCGATGAATGGATATGACTTTTATCAATGTAATATAAACCTATAAAAAAATAAAGAAAATCAATTTTAGAATTCTCAATAGAAATAGAGAGAACTTTGTAAAAGTTTCTTCGTTTATTTCTCCCGCACGTTTTTAATTTCTTTCAGTTACGAAACTATAGCACAAACCTAAGCAATATATTGCACTATTCGTATCGGAAAATTTAAACAAGACAGACTGTTTTTTTCTTCCTGACACTACAAAGAAATCAATATTTAATTCATTCATTAACGGATGTAAAATCGATTCGACATTCCCTCTGTAAATTTCAGCATACATCTTTTCACATATCAGCCAAATTATGATCACAAAATTCAAATATTAAACAAAAATTTGCTTTTCATTATTGTCATGTACTACAAACAAAAAACATCTTGTCAAGTATGTCTCACAGGTCAATAGATTCATCTGTTTTTTTAATAACGTAATTGGAGATCTACCTACTTCTATAAAACAACGATGTTATTATGTCTTAATTCTTGAAGTATTTTAATTTCTCTTAATGCCGTTATTGGAAAACCTTCTTTTTCTTGATCCATCAATATTAATTTCATTGCTACTAAATCATTTGTTTCATTACATCAAGTTTTCTACACCTTTAAAAAACAAAGGGAACAAAAAATGAATTGCTCCAGTAATCATATACTCATCTTACTCATTCAAAAGCTTCTTGTCTCATCTTATCGATACATTCATATTGTGCTGTATTACGAAAACATAAGGAAAATCAAGTAATTGTTTGAGTCTTATTGCAGCCGTTCGGATCAATTAATAAATATAAAACCAAACACAAAAGGTAGAATAGAGCGAGAAAACACAGATATTCAAAGCAGGGTTAAGGGTATATACAAAAAACTAGATTATTCTGATCTAACAATAAATTTTCATCTGTTCGATTCATGGATGTTGTCATAATATCACATTAACGTTTAAATGCATAGCTAGGATCGAGCAAACTAACAGATTTTCTAATTGCTTTAGATATTTCAGAAAACGAAGTTGAGAAAGATAAAATTGACAACAGTTTTGATAGCTGGAAGGAATGCGACTTAAAAGCTTATAAACGTGCCATATTCAAAGACAAAAGCTGGATAAACATCATTCTCTTAAGCAAATAGTACTGAAAAAAAAAAACAACAATAAAAAAAATGTGAGTTTATTCAGAAAACAACAAAAGAAATACAAAAAATAGTGGGTATACTTGCTTAAAAACGCACCGATATCTCATCGTCAAATTGGAAAGTTTCTGCTGCTTTAAAAGCGAAAACGTGCTTTATAAAGGCCACAGAAAAGGTGCAGAAACGATGATAAATATCACTAATAACTACATTATAATATAGACAGGAGTTGGTTGAATTCAGCATCATGGGGATAGGAATGTCTTTTTTATTTCTTCGTTTAATTATTTAATTCTGGCTCCCATTCGCTACGTTTCAATTTTTTGTAATCATGCATACGAACATATTTTTGTGGTTTATATGTACCGTCGTCGTTCAGAGCCGCGTCCCATGAGCGTTCAGGATTTCGACGATTAACTTTGACATCTGTCGAATACATTAAACTACGTACTGCATGACCAGCAGCTAATGCACCACCAAGAACAACCACACCAAATAATGGTACCAATGAATAATTGGCTTTCAACGTTGCCCATGACAATCCTTTCATCACCATGTTGACGAAATTTGACAATAAAACGAATATTTGCCTCTAGAACTAAGTAAAGAATGAAGTGATGACTAAGACAAAACAAATCTACCTCCACATAAGTATTAAGCATCTTCCAGAATGTACCATAATGCATGCTCACTTTAATAATCTAATATTTTATTGAAACAGACAGACGGTTGGATTATGGCTTACAATAAAGCCATATTTTGCAGGCTCTATGTACAAGTATACGCATATAATAACAGAGAATTTAAAAATAAACTAAGATAGAGACAAATAGAGTTAGAAGACATCAGAGTGCGTAATATGTTGATAATTCTTCGATTTTTCAAATTTCAAAGACAAAAAACCAGTTAAGCAAGCAGAAAAACGCGGTTTAAACAAAAAGAGCTGACTCTGACGCTTCGTTGTCCTGACTAACGGAGCGGGGCTACGTATTTGACTTTTAGGTCGCGTTTATTTAATTGAGAATGGAAAGTTTAATTTGTTATGAAGTGAAATCTGATTGATAAATCGACAATTCGTTTCGATGAATCCACTTGTTCTATTAATTTCTTCAAAGGTGTTAGTGAATTATTTAATAGCTTAATACTGTTTAATGGCTTATCGTTTGCGATGACATTAGAGTGTTAATTATCTTTTGTTTTACGTGACTCATTGGATTATCCTATTTTCATTTGCTAATGATCCACTAGGGTTACTAATATGTTCTACATTACAGAAGATGCTATCTTGGCTGATATTTCAAAAAATGAAATACCAATCAAATGTACAAGGAATAAATTGTAATGTTGTAAACATGTCTCTAAATGTGGTTTAAACTCAGCAGAATTGGCTGCATTTTCTCAGTTGAGGGTATCTCTCACTAATGACCGTGCATACCATCATATTCAGTTTGAAAAATCTGTGCTCTAATGCGTTGTCTGCGAGTGCATTTCAAAACTGTCAATAGCTTGTTGATTTTATCAACCGTTTTTATTTCTAATATGACATCCATCCACAAATACGCGCGCTGTCACAAGAATCAACAATTAATCTATTGAACGAAAAGTATACAAGAAACTCTTGACCTGGGGCCTGTTTCTTAAAAAAACTTAAGTAGAAAATCTGACTTAAGTCAAACTTAAGTCCAAAAAAGTCTTTGTCTTTTTTGACTTAAGTAAGATTTTCTACTTAAGTTTTTTTAAGAAACAGGC